GAAAGGCGGTGGCTTCCATCCCCAGTCAGGGAGCATACAGGAGGCAACTGATTGATGTGTCTCTCTCACGTCAATGTTTCTCTCTAAAATCAATAAAAACATCCTCCAGTGAGGATAAAAAATAAAATAGAAGGGCACTGGAGGGACATAATCTAATGTAATCTAAAGATTAGAGGGAGTTGGAGGTGCAAGTAAGGAGGCCAGTGGGAGATAATCCAGTGAGAGCTTAGGTAGCTTGGAGCCCGATGTTAGCAGCAGTCAGCGTCTGACATTCTGAGGTTGAAACCAGTAGAATTTGCTGCCGATGGTGGCATGGCGGAGGGGAGCGAGAGCAGCAGGGAAAGACAGAGCCACTGCAGTTCTTTCCTTTAACGCCTTCCATCACCCCTCCCTGTCCCCCCGCTCCCCCCCCCCCCCCCCACACACACACACACAAGGAGTAGAATGGAATTGCCATTTTCTGAGGTTGGCAAGATCAAATAAGAGCAGGTTTAGGGGTGGAGGTCTGAACATTGGGAAGTTACTCTGGACCTGTTATGTTGGACATGCTGTTAGATTTCCAAGCGAGGACGCAGAACCGTTGGATATTATGAGACTGGAGTTGAGAGGAGAGGTTGGGGTTGAAGATTAAACTGGAAATATAAGCATAAATTAACTGAAAGGAAGTTCTTCATATATTAATAATATCATCCAAAAGGCTAGTGAAGAAAGACTTGGGCCCCACCTACACACTGGTCAGCAGCGCTGACCTTTTTCTACATAATTCATTCTCTCCGTGTGTCATTCATTACTATTTGGCTCTTAGATTTTTCTCCCCCCCCCCAATTCTCGAGTCTCGTTTTTCTCTTCCTTTCCTTTGCGTGCCTTTTATGTTAGAACACTTTTGTGGTCATTGGAGTGCCTGGCTCCGTTTCAGGAATATAATGGTCATTGTCATTTTGGCCTTTCCCTCCCTATTTTCTTTGTCTCTGGCTGCGGTAAGTTTTTCATCATTAAAATATTTTAGCTGGGTTGCTTGATCACTTTCCAGTTTTGCAAAACCAGTAAGCAAGTTGCTTTCTCTGAAGGTTTGTGAGAATGTGGTTACAAAGGGCAGTGTGATCAGAAGGCAGCTGACAGTGATTCAAGCCATTCTTCCCGTTGCTCCGTCCTCTCCATTTAGCGTCTATAAGCACTCCCTTTTCTTTGTTCTGAACGATTTCCCTAGCTTGTTAAACCATCACTAATGTCTCCCATCCTTTTATTAATAGTTGTAAACTAGAAAGCATAGTAATCTCCTCTTTTAGATTCTTCACTGTACATCCCCTTAAAATGCTTACTCTCCCCCTGGCTCATTTTATTCTCCCCTTTGGTTTAGTGTCATTTTTCCCCTTAATCACACTGGCATTGCTTTGGAGAAGCAGAACTATTACAGAGTCTGCCTTTCAGAGCGCGGTAACAGAGCTGAGGTCTTTCTCTGAGAGAAGTTAATTCGCTCCTCTCCCTGAAGACTAGATGGGCTTCAGCAGGAGCTGCTGGCAGCGCTGGAGTGAGCACCATGGCACCTCCAGACTCTGGGTTTTTAGGGGCGACGGGAAGTGAGCTCCAGCAAAGAGCCACTTTGTAATAATACCGCCAAAACCTGTCCCAGGGTAATTCACATTCAGAAAGCCTGTGGATAGTCATTATATAATGATGAATACATTTGAGTCAAAAACAGAATTCTTTCAGTATTTAGAACACATTCTAAGCTTGAACCACGAAGTTTTTGCCTATTTACCTGTACCTTCTCGCTGTGATGTGGCATAATCATTGGCAGAATGATAGGTCTCCTGGACAACTCGGTTCTGATGGGCTTGGGCTGGACAGAGTCAGTTAATGGTACTAGTAAATGTCAGGTCAGCAGTGGCCTTTACTGACTTGTCTTCTCTCCCGTCCCGCTCACCCACTTCCTGGACAAATAGGACTGCAGGCACAGCTCACAACAAGCTGTGGTACGCCTCTCTGGCCCTGGTGACCCTCATCATGTATTCCATCGCCGCTGGAGGCTTGATTTTGATGGCAGTGTTTTATACACAGAAAGATGGTTGCATGGAAAACAAAATTCTCCTGGGAGTGAACGGAGGCCTGTGTGTGCTGATTTCACTGGTCGCCATCTCGCCCTGTGTCCAAAATCGTAAGCACAATTTTTTCCATTCTTCCTCATTTATAGTATAAGTGTCTTTTAGCAAACCCAATAATAACAATAATTTAAAAAACATCATTCCTTAACTTACCGTGCATGGATCAGCAATAGGAAAGGTGGGACTCCAGTCCCCTCTTCATGCCCCACACTTGGCTGAATGTGACCGTCAGGCATGGCTCATGCCAAGAAAGATCTAAACATAATGAATCCAATAAAATAGGAGAGAGATTTTACCATTGTTAAATAATGTACCACAAGGAGCTTTTAAATGGAAATGCCCTTATTGTATATTGAGCTCTTCACTATGTTCTCTGTGTAAAAGTTGAATGAGAAGGCTCCGGAAGGAGCTGTTTGTGGGCCCATCTTTCTCTAAGGCCAGGCACCAGGGACAGTGCGGTTAGGAAGCAGGAAATCCGATCTCCGCTTAGCTAGCAGCTGGCCCCATGAGCTGTCTTCATCAGACTCAAGTCCTTTCTCAGCAAAGTCAACAGAAACCTGTGAGCCTGCCCGTGCTCATGGTTGTTTCAAAGCCAAAAGGAAGAGACATGGAATTTGAAAGTACTTTAGAAAGTATAGGCATCAATTGTCTTTTGTAAATGACTTCTGATATCTTTTTTTTAAAATATATATTTTTATTGATTTTCAGAGAGGAAGGGAGAGGAAGAGAGAGATAGAAACATCAGTGATGAGAGAGAACCATTGATCGGCCACCTCTTGCACACCCCCCACCGGGATCAAGCCCTCAACCCAGGCATGTGCTCTTGACAGAATCAAACCCGGGACCCTTCAGTCCGCAGGCCGATGCTCTATCCACTGAGCCAAACCAGTTAGGGCGACTTCTGATATCTTAAGCCAGTGTGCTGTCTTTGGTTATAGATAGAATTGTCCTTGGTTTCAAGTTTCCTGTAGGTGTCTTACTCTACAGGTGATAAACAAAGAATCACATGACATTTAGGTTTCTAGACAGGAAAAGGAAAAAATGGCCAATAAATTTATAGCCCCTTGAATCCTTTCTAAAATGGTGAGTTAAAAGGAGCTGGTGTTGAATAATATAAAAGCTTTTCTGTACTAAAAATTTCAAGTCCATTATTGAAATTGAGAGTATTATTCTTTCAAATCACTTTAATTGGTCAGTTAAGAATTTCCTAAAACTTTATTAGTATTCAGATTAAAATATCCTTTGGGTAAAATCCCACCTTTTGAAATAGTTATAATATTTTGAATATTTAGTTTAATGCCATTAATTGTTAAGGTAAATCTTATTCCTATGCCAAAAGAGCAGCATCATTAAAGGGTCTGTTTCTATACCTTTATTGGCCATTGTAATTTCATAAATATAATTCTGGAAACAAATTTAACCAGAGAGAAGAATGGATAAAACTAAATGTTTTCATGCCAGCAGGTGGTTGAAAATTTCACCAAAAAAATATAAATCACTTGTACCACATCCTGGTTACTCTCAACGATATGAACACTAAGTTTAATTTAAATGCTGTAACATTAAAGCCCTCCTCCCAGTGAATGCTGAGCCCCATAACCTTCCTCTTTAGCCTGGACCAGCTCTGGTATGCCAAAGGTATTTTTTTATCCATTGATGAATAAGAGCTTTTTTCTACTGTCATGGACTGTAAGTGTCTGCTGTCCTGTAGAATCAGGACTCCATGGCCTATGAAACCTATCAGTTACTTGTCTAAGCCTTGTGAGCTCAGAAATAATGATGGTCAGGGGAAAGTTAGGGAGAGGGGGGTAGATAAGAAATCAAACGAAGGACTTGTATGCATGCATATAAGCATAAACAATGGACGCAAAACTCTGGGGGGTGAGGGCATGTGTGAGTGTGGGGTGGGGGGGTAATGGTAAGATATGTACACATATAATACCTCAATAAAAAAAAAATAATAAATCTCCCTCAGAGAAAACATCAAAAAAAAAAAAAAGAAATAATGATGGTAAGTGTTCTTCTGAGATCTTGTGATATAAGAACTAATGTTGCCCTAGCTTGGTTGCTCAGTGGTTAAAGCATTAGCCTGCGGACTGAAGGGTCCCAGCCTCGATCCCCTGCCCCAGTCAGGGCATGTGTGGGAGGCAACCAATCGATGTGTCTCACTCACATCAATATTTCTCTCTCTGCATTTCTTCCCCTCTCTTCCACTCTCTAAAAAATAAAAAATAAACAAATAAATAAAAAATCAATGGAAAGAATATCCTTGGGTGAGGATTAACAACAACAAAAAAATTTTTTAAAAAAAGGAACTTAATGTTATGAACCTCAGGGATACCAGGCAGTATTAAATACAGCTGTAGTTATAAAAATAAAGTGTTGGTAGAGAACTTGGCAGAGCTTGGCATCTCGAAAATAGCAGCTAGGCACAGTGTCTAACTCCCTCCCCCCAAAATCTTTTTAGTGTTACCTGACAAACACATTATGTACCTCTTCTTTCCTTTAAAGGCAGAGCCCAAGGCTGAGGAATCATTTTCACTTGGAGGGTGGAGAGACCCTTTTTTTTTTTTTTTTTTAAGCAGGTGCTCTATTATTGTTGAAATTTAAAACACTGCCTAAAAATCTGTCTCTTGTCATTTTCCAGGGCAGCCACACTCCGGGTTACTGCAGTCGGGTCTCATAAGCTGCTATGTCACGTATCTCACTTTCTCAGCTCTGTCCAGCAAACCTGAAGAAGTGGGTAAGTTGGCCTTGTTATGGAGTATGTGTTTGTGGTACGAATATTTTCATTTGTGGAGGAAGCAGTGTGTCTCTGTGAGCTATTGTTTAAATATCAGGGATGCAGTAAATCAAGAGGAGCCTGTGTTCCTTCAGGAGTGGTGTTGAAAGCCGAGTTGCAGATGCTGGGAGTTGAACGCGGGGTCTCATATATGCCAGGCACGAGCTCTTCCACTGAGCTACATCCCCTCACTCGAAATAAATCAAAATAGAGACATGATTAAGACTTTTTCAATAAACAAAGACCTTAAGGTGGGTTATGAAGATGAAAATTTCTTCTTTCTAGTCTTCCTGCTGTGTAGGAGAGACGTACAAAGGTGGACTGTTGAGTTTGCTTTTAGGCCTAATCTGCATTTCTCTGCTCTGTTTTCAAGGGATGTTTTTATTTTTCTTTGTTTATTTTGTTGTTGTTTTTTTAGTTGGGTATTAATTTACTTTTCTTCAGGTAGTCATTTCTCTGACTGAAACAAATAGTGGAAAAAACATGGAAGTGGGAAGCAAGAAACAGGAAGAGATTTGAGCCCAGCTGCACCGTTTGCTGGTTGTGTGACCTTGAATTGCTCATCTTGAATAACACTTATTTATAGAGACAACAGGGCATGCATGAGCTTTAGAGTTGGACTGCCTGGTAGCCTGGTGCTGCGACTTAAATAACTTGTACAAAGTTACTTACCATTCTCCGCCTAGACACCTTGCCTTTAAAATAAGAATTTTCATTTAACAAGACACTTAAATAAGATTACTATTTTATAAGGTGATTTTTAAGAATTCAGTTTTTCAAACATAGTAGGTAATTATATAAGGATAAGCTATTATCGTAGTTGCAATGATTATTTGAGAACTATAAGTATTATATTATATTATATTATATTATATTATATTATATTATATTATATTATACTAGAGGCCCGGTGCACAAAATTTGTGCACTTGGGACGGGGGGGGGGGGTGGATTCCCTCAGCTCAGATTGCAAGAGGGTACAGGCCAGGCTGAGGGACCCCACTGGTGCACAATCAGGGCCAGGGAGGGACGCGGGAGGGTGGCCAGCTGGAGAGGGACCGCAGGAGCACTCCAGGGCATGTCCGGCCCATCTCGCTCAGTCCCAATTGGCTGGACCCCAGCAGCAAGCTCACCTACCAGTTGGAGCGGAGCGTCTGCCCCCTGGTGGTCAGTGCACCTCATAGTGACTGGTCAACCAGTCGACTGTCTGCCCCCTGGTGGTCAGTGCACGTCATAGTGAGTAGTTGAGTGGCCTTAGCATATCATTAGTATATTATGCTTTGATTGGTTTAATGGCCGACCGGATGACTGGACACTTAGCATATTAGGCTTTTATTATATAGGATTATATTATACTAGAGGCCCGGTGTATGAAAATTCATGCACTGGAGTGGGGGTCCCTCAGCCCAGCCTGCCCCCTCTCACAGTCCGGGAGCCCTCAGGAAGCGACCCAGCGATGACACCTCTGCTGCTGCCACTGCTGGCAGCTCAAGCCTTGGCCGGCCCTGGTTACCTGAGCCTTGGGCAGCTGGGCAGCCACCATTTGAGGCTTGCCTGCGCCTCGGGTCAACCCTGGGCAGCTAGGGGGCTGAGGGTATTGGGAGACTCCGGAGGCAGGCGCGCCGAGTGGCTGGGCCCGCCTGGCCTTGCCGCACGCCTGCCATCCCGGCGGGGCTAAGGGGACTGGGTGACACTATTTTGTGGCTGTGGGTGCCGCCATCTTTGAGGGCATGGCAGTCAATTAGCATATCCCCTCCTTATTGGCTGTGGGCGCTGCCATCTTTGAGGGCGGGGCAGTCAGCATATTCCCTCATTATTGGCTGTGGGTGCCGCCATCTTTGGGGGTGGGGCAGTCAATTAGCATATTCTCTCCTTATTGGCTGTGGGCACTGCCATCTTTGTGATGGCATGAGGGTCAATTAGCACATTCCCTTTTTATTAGATAGGATTGTATTGTGTCACATCACTTCACATCACATCACATCACATCGCATTGCATCACGGTTGGCGGCAGCTGGCCAGGCACTCCCTCCCTTCCCCCGGCCAGCCCCGCCCCCTGGTCTAACTCCAGGAAGAACTCCCAGTCGAGGGGGCAATTTGCATACTACACTTTTATTATATAGGATTATATTATAAAGTGTTATTGTATAAGCCCCTGAGCCTTGCTAGTGAAAAACAACATTGAAGGTCTTTTTTAAAATTTTATTTAGGAAACAAAGGCAAAGATCATTTGAAGGGTTTAGCATATGCACGTACTATGTATATGTCTTGTTTTTATAGCTTTATAGTGCGAAGTGATATAATTGTAGGCCTTATATAAAGTATAGTCTACCCTGGATATAATTTTTTTTAACTAAGTTCTATTTTGACTAAGTTTATTTAAACCTAGTCTCTTCAGGACTTTATACCTATATATTAATCTCTGGTTTTAACTTATTGGGGTTTTAGTTAACATAGTTTTTTTTAATGGCAGGTATCACTTAAAAACAACAAAAAAGAACTTTTATTTTTAATTTTAGGTGGTACTACTTAAATAGCAAAGTTCATATTTGGTCAGTTTTTAAGAAAACATTTTTCATTGGCCTAAGAATAAAGATTCCTTTAACCACAGCATACACAGTTATGTTTACTGTTTCAAGTGTGAGTACTAGTAATAATTTCAGTCCAACTTCAAACACTTAGAATGTACATGTTTGTAAAATGGTTTCTGTTCTTTATTGAGACAGAGTTGGCAATCACCTAGATTGGGTGTTCAAAATTGAAGACTGTGTTAGACAAAAAGTAAACTACCACTGATGGTAATACTACAGAAACCTTTGTTATGTAGCCTCTCAAAATATTTTAAAAATCCAGACAACCTCAGTAGGTTCCCAGGTTACAGCCTGAAAGAGGTCATAGCCATCCTGTTACTGGCAGTAAAATGACTTGTCAGCTGGGGAGGTTGTGGGCAGATAGCTGTTATCTGATACTAGGTTGGTAGTTGAGTGCCCTCATCACACCTCCAGAGAGAGTGATCAGTTATCTGTACATTATCTCTTCAGCGGCTGCCAAATAAACTGAAAAATGAATCTAAGTTGCCCTAGTGGGTGTTGTTCAGTGGTTAGAATGTCAGCCCACGCACCAAAGGGTTGGGGTTTGATTCCAGTCAAGGACACATACCTGGGTTGCAGGTTTGACCCATGGCCCGTGCGGGAGACAACTAATCGATGTGTCTCTCTCACATTGATGTTTCTTTCTTTCTTTCTCTCTATTACCCCCTTTCTCCATTCCACTCTGTCTGAAAATCAATGGGAAAAAAAAAAGATCTTTGAGTGAGGATTAACAGCAACAACAACAAGAGTCTAAGTGTACTTTGTAATATTTGAATAGTGCTGGAATTGGCAGGTCCTATTTGCAGGGTGTGAGGTGGGAGACGGGTGCTTTGAAATAGCCACAGTCTAGTCTGAGTCGAGTTGTACTCTAGAGTAGAAGTTCCCAGGGATAAGCCTTTACTCTTTAAGCTACCTGAATTTTCCCCAAATGAGTGAGTCTGAGTTACAACAAGTTTTTCTGATTTAACTGTGGTTACTTTGTTTTTCCTTTGCAAGTTCTGGATGCACATGGGAAGAACATCACGATCTGTGTGCCTGGCTTTGGTCAGGACCTGTACAGAGACGAGAACTTGGTTACTGGACTGGGTACCACTCTCTTGTTTGCGTGCATCTTATATTCCTGGTAAGTTGTAGGATTACCTGAGCTCATCTTCACAGACTTTTAATGTGCAGAGAAGAATTTAAATAAGTTTTAGCAGCTGCGAGGCAGCAAAACAAATACCTTCTGAGGAAGAAGGAGAATAGAAATAATAGGTGTTTGGACTTCATTTGTCTTATATTTATAGGGGATAAATAAAATAAGTATGTGATACGTTGCAACCCTTTAAAAGACCATTGGATATTACTTGCTAAAGCATTATTGGACGGCAAGTGAACACAAAGTGAGGTATGCGCCAGGATGTTTGGGGAACTTACTAATCCAAGGGAAATACCATTTTACAAAATACAAAGCACTGCGTACACGGTCATGTTGTGCCTTGTCGAAGAACAACAGGAAATACCCCCCTTTTCTTTTTATGCTAAAACCCACAATGCCGTTGAGGAGTCCAGAGCTCTCCAAAAGTAGGTGTCATACATAAGCAGGCTGCATTTCACATGCTTATGGTGGGGTTTATTACACCTTTAAAATGTTTAAAAGATTGCTAGAGAGAGAACAGTAAGGGATAGAAATGGTTCGTTTCTTATTCTGGATAGATGTTTCTCTGATAATTATGTTCCCCTTTGACAGTAACCTTTTCATGTTTAGGTTTTACTCCTGTGTTCTATTGGATATGTTTCAGTATATAAACATTTCAACTTGTCCTGGGCACATTATAGTCTTCCTTTGGCTGAAATGAAATGATGCTGATGGTGATACCTCGTATAAATAAAACATCTTTCCGGGCAAGTTGGCATTTTCTCGTGTAGCTTCTAACACCCCCTAATGTTAGAAAGGGACCAAGGACTTGCTTGTGTTGCAGGTGGTTGTGACGTTGATGCTCACTCTGCCTTTGACATGGTGACAGAGTCTCCTCGTTGCACCAGGCGGGACCATGGTGTTAGTCCACACAGACCCAGGGAAAAGCCCCAAGGACTGAAACTCAGCCTCTGTAAACAGAGGGCAGAGAAAGAGGCTAGCCACTCCAGTCTGGTAATTAACAGAGTTTTTTGAGGAAAACTTACGTACGAGGCATGCCGTGGGTGGTTGTAGGACCAGATAGATCCCTGTGTCTCCTGGCGGGTGCCAGAGAATTATGTAGGGTAAAGGGGGATGGTGCTACAACACTGCCAGGCACGGAAATTACTTTACATGCTTGACCAGGTCAGGACAACAACCTGTTCCAGGACCAGCACATAGCAGGAGTCAGGGGAGGCTGCTGAGTTCCGAAGATGAACATTAATTATTATCAGACATTCTCTAAGGGGGGTTTGCAGAAAGCAACCTCTGTTCTGGCCCAGGTCTAGCTTGCGGAACAGTGGCTGTCACGGAACAGCCTCTCCTCCACACCTGGTGACCAGTTTCTGGCCTTTTGTTTTTAATGATGATGCCATGATTGTTCACACACACGCCACTTTAGGGGGCTCTCATGATGACTCCATCCTCAGTTCCTGGTTCT